TTCGAAGGATTTGCCCTGTTGCGTGGGGGATGAGGAAGTGGAAAGGTTCACGCGTGGTGGTGGCACGCAGTGACGGCAACTGTTGATGGTGCGTCAATGGGTGCGCGAGAAGCGTGGCGTTGCGGCGGCCATGGATGTCGCGCTTTGGTGCTGTGGCGCGCACGAGGGAAGATGGTGGCCTGAAGATTGTCCGGTCATGGCAGCGGCGTGATGGTGATAATTTCAGAGGAGGAGGGCGCTGTGATGGCAGGGTCGGTGGCGCGGTCAACGGCGCGGCGGGAGGGCTTCGAACCCTTGCGCGAAGGAGAAGGAAGGTGGCGGCGGTCTTGCGGCGTGGTGGCGGCGCGGATGGAGAGGCACCGTGGTGGTCTGTTGATGCGCCGGCGAGAAAGGAAGGAGATGATGTTCTGGCCATGGCGGCGACTTGCGGCATTGGCGGGAGCGGCGGAAGCGGCGGCTGACGACACTGACGGCTAGGGTTTCTGTGGAGAAGGTGGAAGATGATGCTCATGGGTTAGGGCTGACGTGGCATGATCTGGTGGACTCTAGCTTAGGAGGGGTATGGATAGGGAAATTTAGGAGGTGTATTTAGAATAGGGTTACTGTTTGGCTTAGTATTGGGCCTGTTTAAGAGAAGAGGGGTGTATGTAAGGAAATTGGGAGGTGCAAGGGTAAAAGTTGCCTGTTTGGTCCATCTGTACATTATTTTCCAAATAAAACCTGATTTTGGGCCTTGAATTGCCATTTGGACCAATAAAACTTATATTCTCAGTTGCACAAATAAACATTAGAACATCCAAGAATAATTTATGCGCTAAAACTTTACTTTTTACCTCTCTTTATTTCCCAAACCCAATAATTTCAATCATCACAAATTCACTTAAAATCAACCATTTAAACACAATTATCCCATCAAAATTTTAATTTTCAAACATAAATGTGGGCATAAATATGCACTCATCAGTAAGCGTAATAATTCCTTTAATTTATCCAAGAGATATTAATTACCTAATTAAATACTTAGATAATATTTACATAACTAAATGTATTTTTAATATATTTAAAAAAATAACAAAATTATAAAATAAAACTCATTAATCCACTTTTTAAGGGGATAAGTGAGGACTTTCACGCTACCTAAACATAACAAATAAACTCATTTCACATATTTTGTATATGTCAATAACAAGAGAGTTAGTCAAAACCAATCATATTAACCTATTTGTCACCTCTAATAATATATAATATATAAGAAATTAAAACCAAATGTATCAATACATGATTGCTTTGACATTTTTTTAGGTTATCCTACTAATTTTAATTTTAAGAGTACTAACACTTTTCCATTTTCTTAGTCAATGGTCCTAAACAATTTTCTTAGTGATATAGACTCTATCAATTTTTGAACTTTTGTTACACTTCGTATATTTCCTCCTCTTTCTTAACTTATGATATTTTCCCCTTTCTTAGATGTTCCTTATTTTCGATCATATTAAATTTTCTTCACAATATATTCAAAATATTGATCATCATTAGATTAGTGTAATCTTAATTAAGTCTAAGTTTATTTATTAATTTCATTTGTTAGTGGTTACTTTCATGATATTTTGAAATTATATTTAATCTAATACATAACTACACAAAGATAAATTATATACCATTTATCTATACCCGTTTAAGAATGAAACAAGGTTTATCTATTGTAAAGTTATAAACAAGAAACAAAATATAAATTCTCTAATTAGTTATTAAAAGTTTATGAACTTATTTAATTATAAATTATACTCATAAAAAATATTATTTGGGCATCGCCTTAGTCTAATAACTAGTATTGTTTTTTTCATCCATCTTTTTACTTACATTGGCTTCCATTTATTTCGTAATACTGTAATGGATTAATTAATAATTATTTATTAATTAATAACAAATTATGAATAGGCATCTAGATTCTTCCAATTGGTGTGGATATGCTGAGCGCACACGTCCATCTCCCTGTCCTATAATTTTCATTCATCTTTCCTAAAATTTTCACTCCGCGCCAGGTAACTCAATTTTCCCCCTGCTTGTACAATTTCAGTTCGGATCATGTCAATTTTCTCTTTTCTCCAACTATTTCATGGATCTGTTTTTGTTACAAACTGTCTTTATTTTATTCTTCATTTGATCGGTTTTGAGGTTTGAGGTCGGCGTTGAATTATGAATTCTCACATGGGTTTATTTAATTCTCCAGAATTTGGTTATGGAAGTTGTGAATCGCTTAAAATTTGTCAAATTACTTGTACTCATTTTGAGTTAATTTGTTGGTTTGGTGTGATTAAATTTTCTCAAATTTGGTTGTATATGTATCTATAGGAAGTTTTTTAACTTACTCTCTTACGAATTATGATTAAATTTGTGAAATGTGTTGGGATACCTAGCTGCTTTCAGAGTTTTGGAGGTGCCCTTATAAAAAATTGTTCAATTTAGTTTTCCAAATATGAGGGAAGGGGAATTTTTTTGAAGATCAAGGTTAATTTACTCGGTAGTTTAACCCTTCGTGTATCCCTGTACTCACACATAGACAGAGAGAGAGAGAGAGGAGAGAGAGAGAGAGAGAGAGAGAGAGAGAGAGAGAGAGAGAGAGAGAGAGAGAGGTGTATTAGGTTTCTATAATATTCCTTCTGGGACCTTGTTTGTACCAAAAGTATAATCAGTGGAAAATGACTAGACCTATTTTGATTCTTGTAGATTAAATATGCAACCTCAATCGAGCCTGCTTAACGTCTCTGTTACATGGAGGGGGAAAAAATTTGTTGTAGAGATGAATCTAGGGGCCAATGTTAAGGATCTAGGACAGGAATTGCAAAAGTTAACTAATATCAATGAAGATACGATGCGGTTCATTATTCCACAAATTTCTGGTAGAGCGTCAAAACTGCTGGCTCCATTTTCAGCGGAGCATGCAGTTTTAAGTCTGCAGGAAGCTTCAATTACTGAGGTACTGCCATTTCTATATTTTCTATCATGTGGGTTAAGATTTAACTACATGAAAAATATTATTCTTATCGACTTCATTCACATGGATATAGTTTTTATTGTTCTGTGAATCATTGCATTGTATTTGCTGCTTTCCTTAATTGTTTTTTTCAGGTCATGCCACGGGTTTCCCCTAGTCCATTGGACCAGAGTTTTATAATACTTTTGTGCTATTTATCTAAAATTCAGGAGTAAATATTTTTCTTGAACCAAACTATCATTAACTACCTATGATGGAACCTCTAATTCTAGGATATGAAATTGATTGTTTGACACACATTCTTCAGCAGACTTGAGTGGATTGGCTGTTTTAAAATGCTATTTGATTAGAGTCGAAGCCTTGAACCCATTAGTCAATTGTCATGTGAAGTTGTCAACAAAAGGTAGCCCAAATCTGCTGGAATGGTGGTATAGTTACATGTTAAGCTTAGTAAGAAGCGTGTGAGCTGGTAGAACATTGTGAGTGAGAAGTTGACTGTTTTAGTGGGGCCTATGGGGCATCAGAAGGGGAGCATTAGTGATAAACATTTTGTCTTAAATGTATGTTGGGAGAGTGACATTTGGGAATATCTTGGGCATTTTCATTAGCCATTATTGAGGAAGATTTACTCTTTGTAATGAGCATTGCTCTTGGGAGTATCTAAGCTGAGACATTCCATGCTGTTACTGTAATTATCATTTCTTTTTATTTCCATTGGTATTTTCAATTATTATCACTATTCTACAAACTATTTTATCATTTTATATTTATTGTTTTGAATACAGAAAGGAAAACAGTGCATGTTGAGGAACACTTTACAGTCAAATAGCGGTGATTTTTATGTTATAATCCTAATTAATTTCAGTGAAAAATAAGACTGATTTATTATTCTCAATCATAAAAAATACATTCTGATACTTTTTATTTGTAATAATCTAATTCTCTTAAAAAGGGAAATATTGAAACTAGGAAAGTAAATTAAAGGGAATTAGGGAAACTAGGAAAGTAAAATAAAATAAAGATTATATATCTATTTCCTCTAATTAGGAAGATTCTAAAGATATTATCTCAAATTACAACAATTTCTCCACAAGGGGATTCATCGAACTGGTTATTCATATACATCCTTTCTGTTTGTTTTATCAATGCTTGTAATTAGCACCATTGTACCATTGGAAAATGGTTGATATGTTGACTTAATTATTTTGTGTACTATTACCTTAAGTCACTATTTTTATTCCCCAGGCCAGGTCAATTATCATGATGGGTGTGTCAACAAATGAGGTTGAAGAGGTTCTTCAAAGTTCAAAAACAGATTTAAGAATAGCTGGATTTGAGGATGAAGAGAAGAGAATGAAACAAAGAATTTCACACGAACCTCATATTTCATTGAAACTCCCACAAGGGCAGTATATATTTTGTGAATTTCGCACACTTCAAATTCCAGGATTAGAGGTACTATATTGCTACATGATTATTAATGTTTGTGTCCAATAAAAGAATCACACAACTGATATTTATCTTTTAGACCTCTTTATACTCCTGCATTTACATTGTTACTAGTAACTAGTAATAGGGTGTTTTCGTAAAGTATTCCAAGAGTGTAGACATCATTTTACTATGTGATTATTATTGAAAGGATGAAGTTTCTGGGATAGAGGGAGATAATAGAGGCAAGATACTATGAAATTGGCATTGATTTGATATCATATGACTTGTTAGAATGTGATGATAAGATTTATAAAACCTAATGCATTATAAGTTTCCACGATTTCGTCTTGCTCATACTTCTAATAGTCATTTGTTACCTTTTTGTTCATTGTAAAAATCTGCATATGAATTTTGTTTGTTCCTCTAACGTATGTAGCAATATTGTGCCTAATCCCTTCACATGGCATATTAAGTCAGTGCACAAAAATTCTCATTTAATGTGCCTTGTTTTTTAGAAGTGCAATATGTCTCAAGCTAAATTTATTTCTCCTCTTGAAGAAAGATGACAGCTGCATGGAGAAAAGTAACAGCAAAGTGGGTGAAGGGAGGGGCAGCAGCAATGCACATGATAGGAAACCCTAATTGCACCAACCTTATTTGTTTTCTGTGTTTAAAACATAGTTAAAAATTGGGCCAGGTCCAATAAAAATTTAAAACCCACTCTAGTACACACAACATTAAAACACTTTCTCTTTTATTCTTTTCCAGCTGGCCTAACTTACTACCACCAACAGCCACTGCTGCCGCACTTCTCGCCAATGGCCGCTGTCATTGCTTGCAAGTCACCTCCATATCAGTCGTCGGCCAAACCTGTTTTTCTTTTTTCAATTTTTTTTCAAAATCTTTCTTCTTCTCCACTTTCTGATAGGATATACTGTGTATGATAGGAGGAAGCAAATTAAGAAGTAGTTGCTAGCTAGATTGTTAGGGTGAGTGAGTGAGGTTTCCTTTATATAGTTGGGGGGTCCTGGTATGTAGGGGACTTTGGATTAATTTTGTAGATTGAGCTTTAGCTCTCTGGGAAGGGAAAACCCTTGGAGGAGAGAGTGCTCTCCTATTTTGGGTTCTTTTTAGTTTATACAATAAAGAAGATTATTCTTCTTTCTCTTTTCAATTCTAAATTCCTAATAAATTGGTACGACCTGTCGGATCCAATAGTGGTGGAAGCATGGAAGGAAGAGTCAATACTTTGGAGAAGTGGGCCAGTGAATAGAAAAGGGTGATAGCAGAATGGAGAAGAAGTTTCCAAGAATTGAAAGAAATGATATTGGAATACCAGAATCAAGAAAGCGACACAAAAATGATAGTGTGGTAGGTCGTGGTGTGTATGTCAAAACAGTGAAGAAGGGTGAAGACAAAGGAAAGAAAGCCAAATGTGGTGGGAACATTGTGACTATTATGTCTGGGAATAGAGCAGAAGATGCAACTATTTTGAGTGGGGAAAAATTCATTCAAGAATTCAGGATATTGGTGTCACAAACATATAAAACACCAGAAGACCAATGGCAGGGGATATTCCTTTGTAGGGTTGCCATCCAACGTTCAAAACCAGTTGCCACAACAGGAACCACAAGATTGGATTAGAGATATGCAAGTTGCTCTAGAGATGGGAGAAGGGTCAGCAATGAAGAATCACACCCTCTCTAGTGAAGAAAGAACCAAAACAGAAGTGAGATTTGTAATAGAAAAATATATTATGATGGAGGAGGAAGGGGATGTAATAATAAAGGGAGTTGGAGGTGGAGATGCAACTAGGCAANGAGAGAGAGAGAGAGAGAGAGAGAGAGAGAGAGAGAGAGAGAGAGAGGTGTATTAGGTTTCTATAATATTCCTTCTGGGACCTTGTTTGTACCAAAAGTATAATCAGTGGAAAATGACTAGACCTATTTTGATTCTTGTAGATTAAATATGCAACCTCAATCGAGCCTGCTTAACGTCTCTGTTACATGGAGGGGGAAAAAATTTGTTGTAGAGATGAATCTAGGGGCCAATGTTAAGGATCTAGGACAGGAATTGCAAAAGTTAACTAATATCAATGAAGATACGATGCGGTTCATTATTCCACAAATTTCTGGTAGAGCGTCAAAACTGCTGGCTCCATTTTCAGCGGAGCATGCAGTTTTAAGTCTGCAGGAAGCTTCAATTACTGAGGTACTGCCATTTCTATATTTTCTATCATGTGGGTTAAGATTTAACTACATGAAAAATATTATTCTTATCGACTTCATTCACATGGATATAGTTTTTATTGTTCTGTGAATCATTGCATTGTATTTGCTGCTTTCCTTAATTGTTTTTTTCAGGTCATGCCACGGGTTTCCCCTAGTCCATTGGACCAGAGTTTTATAATACTTTTGTGCTATTTATCTAAAATTCAGGAGTAAATATTTTTCTTGAACCAAACTATCATTAACTACCTATGATGGAACCTCTAATTCTAGGATATGAAATTGATTGTTTGACACACATTCTTCAGCAGACTTGAGTGGATTGGCTGTTTTAAAATGCTATTTGATTAGAGTCGAAGCCTTGAACCCATTAGTCAATTGTCATGTGAAGTTGTCAACAAAAGGTAGCCCAAATCTGCTGGAATGGTGGTATAGTTACATGTTAAGCTTAGTAAGAAGCGTGTGAGCTGGTAGAACATTGTGAGTGAGAAGTTGACTGTTTTAGTGGGGCCTATGGGGCATCAGAAGGGGAGCATTAGTGATAAACATTTTGTCTTAAATGTATGTTGGGAGAGTGACATTTGGGAATATCTTGGGCATTTTCATTAGCCATTATTGAGGAAGATTTACTCTTTGTAATGAGCATTGCTCTTGGGAGTATCTAAGCTGAGACATTCCATGCTGTTACTGTAATTATCATTTCTTTTTATTTCCATTGGTATTTTCAATTATTATCACTATTCTACAAACTATTTTATCATTTTATATTTATTGTTTTGAATACAGAAAGGAAAACAGTGCATGTTGAGGAACACTTTACAGTCAAATAGCGGTGATTTTTATGTTATAATCCTAATTAATTTCAGTGAAAAATAAGACTGATTTATTATTCTCAATCATAAAAAATACATTCTGATACTTTTTATTTGTAATAATCTAATTCTCTTAAAAAGGGAAATATTGAAACTAGGAAAGTAAATTAAAGGGAATTAGGGAAACTAGGAAAGTAAAATAAAATAAAGATTATATATCTATTTCCTCTAATTAGGAAGATTCTAAAGATATTATCTCAAATTACAACAATTTCTCCACAAGGGGATTCATCGAACTGGTTATTCATATACATCCTTTCTGTTTGTTTTATCAATGCTTGTAATTAGCACCATTGTACCATTGGAAAATGGTTGATATGTTGACTTAATTATTTTGTGTACTATTACCTTAAGTCACTATTTTTATTCCCCAGGCCAGGTCAATTATCATGATGGGTGTGTCAACAAATGAGGTTGAAGAGGTTCTTCAAAGTTCAAAAACAGATTTAAGAATAGCTGGATTTGAGGATGAAGAGAAGAGAATGAAACAAAGAATTTCACACGAACCTCATATTTCATTGAAACTCCCACAAGGGCAGTATATATTTTGTGAATTTCGCACACTTCAAATTCCAGGATTAGAGGTACTATATTGCTACATGATTATTAATGTTTGTGTCCAATAAAAGAATCACACAACTGATATTTATCTTTTAGACCTCTTTATACTCCTGCATTTACATTGTTACTAGTAACTAGTAATAGGGTGTTTTCGTAAAGTATTCCAAGAGTGTAGACATCATTTTACTATGTGATTATTATTGAAAGGATGAAGTTTCTGGGATAGAGGGAGATAATAGAGGCAAGATACTATGAAATTGGCATTGATTTGATATCATATGACTTGTTAGAATGTGATGATAAGATTTATAAAACCTAATGCATTATAAGTTTCCACGATTTCGTCTTGCTCATACTTCTAATAGTCATTTGTTACCTTTTTGTTCATTGTAAAAATCTGCATATGAATTTTGTTTGTTCCTCTAACGTATGTAGCAATATTGTGCCTAATCCCTTCACATGGCATATTAAGTCAGTGCACAAAAATTCTCATTTAATGTGCCTTGTTTTTTAGAAGTGCAATATGTCTCAAGCTAAATTTATTTCTCCTCTTGAAGAAAGATGACAGCTGCATGGAGAAAAGTAACAGCAAAGTGGGTGAAGGGAGGGGCAGCAGCAATGCACATGATAGGAAACCCTAATTGCACCAACCTTATTTGTTTTCTGTGTTTAAAACATAGTTAAAAATTGGGCCAGGTCCAATAAAAATTTAAAACCCACTCTAGTACACACAACATTAAAACACTTTCTCTTTTATTCTTTTCCAGCTGGCCTAACTTACTACCACCAACAGCCACTGCTGCCGCACTTCTCGCCAATGGCCGCTGTCATTGCTTGCAAGTCACCTCCATATCAGTCGTCGGCCAAACCTGTTTTTCTTTTTTCAATTTTTTTTCAAAATCTTTCTTCTTCTCCACTTTCTGATAGGATATACTGTGTATGATAGGAGGAAGCAAATTAAGAAGTAGTTGCTAGCTAGATTGTTAGGGTGAGTGAGTGAGGTTTCCTTTATATAGTTGGGGGGTCCTGGTATGTAGGGGACTTTGGATTAATTTTGTAGATTGAGCTTTAGCTCTCTGGGAAGGGAAAACCCTTGGAGGAGAGAGTGCTCTCCTATTTTGGGTTCTTTTTAGTTTATACAATAAAGAAGATTATTCTTCTTTCTCTTTTCAATTCTAAATTCCTAATAAATTGGTACGACCTGTCGGATCCAATAGTGGTGGAAGCATGGAAGGAAGAGTCAATACTTTGGAGAAGTGGGCCAGTGAATAGAAAAGGGTGATAGCAGAATGGAGAAGAAGTTTCCAAGAATTGAAAGAAATGATATTGGAATACCAGAATCAAGAAAGCGACACAAAAATGATAGTGTGGTAGGTCGTGGTGTGTATGTCAAAACAGTGAAGAAGGGTGAAGACAAAGGAAAGAAAGCCAAATGTGGTGGGAACATTGTGACTATTATGTCTGGGAATAGAGCAGAAGATGCAACTATTTTGAGTGGGGAAAAATTCATTCAAGAATTCAGGATATTGGTGTCACAAACATATAAAACACCAGAAGACCAATGGCAGGGGATATTCCTTTGTAGGGTTGCCATCCAACGTTCAAAACCAGTTGCCACAACAGGAACCACAAGATTGGATTAGAGATATGCAAGTTGCTCTAGAGATGGGAGAAGGGTCAGCAATGAAGAATCACACCCTCTCTAGTGAAGAAAGAACCAAAACAGAAGTGAGATTTGTAATAGAAAAATATATTATGATGGAGGAGGAAGGGGATGTAATAATAAAGGGAGTTGGAGGTGGAGATGCAACTAGGCAACAAGTTTTCACAAAATCAGATTTACGTAATATGAATAAGAATTCATGGTTGAACTTAGATGTGATAATGATTAGAACATCAATGACTTTGGAATTTCGGGATTCCAAATTACTGGGTTCAGAATCTGGTATACAAAAACCACTCTCATATCGACCACCACCCAAACCTCCAGATCTAAAATTGCAGGCAGTAGCTAGTGGGTACCCTTTCGATGATAAGACAATATCACACTAAGGTTGTCTTGCAGCACCGTGTAATGATAGGATATACTGTGTATGATAGGAGGAAACATATTAAGAAGTTGTTTTTAGTTAGGTTGTTAGGGTGAGTTAGGTTTCCTTTATATAGTTGGGGGTCCTGGTATGTAGGGGACTTTGGATTAATTTTGTAGATTGAGCTTTGACTCTTTGTGAAGGGGAAACCCTTGGAGGAGAGAGTGCTCTCCTATATTTCGTGTTCTTTTCAGTCTTTCCAATAAAAAAGATTACTCTTCTTCCTCTATTCAATTTTGGATTCCTAACACTTTCACTATAATTATTTTTCAGAAAAATACCTATTTTTACTATAATATCATTACTTTTGCATTAGAATTACATGTGGTGGTATTATATTTCTTTTGAAAGCATTGTTTCCACCATAATCCATTATGGTTTCCGTTATAACTTTATAAAGGACTTTTGAGTCTCCAACATTTATAACACTGAGGTCATCTAGTATGATCTTTGTTCCGGTACCAATAGTTCCAAGACGCTTAGGAGTCGAGGTCAAACGTAATTTAAATACACCTTCCTTTTTCAATCCTCTAAGGTTCTAAAGTAGACAATACCTCGGATGCAGTGATTGATTCTAATGATGTTATCTCAACGGACTTGAGGTTGGAACAATTTTCATCTAGTCCTTCACACACATCTCGGGAAAGGGCTTGAAACTCTAGTTTCTCAGCTCAATAAGATACCCCATCTTGTTTTTTTTCTTCTCTAGGTCACTAAACTTTCTCTCATAAATATACACGACCCAGAGGTAGATATCAATGATAGAACTTGCAAAATCTACATATTATGCATAAATTGGCTTATCCCACTTCTTACATAAATAAATTTTTCTAACAATATATGATATTGGGTCTTTTCTAGAGGAGAGTTTTCTTCAGTTCCAATTCTATGATTTTGTTCAAAAGGAACTCTTGAGGTTCTATATCCTTACTTGTTTCTTTGAGGAGACCGGACACATATTTTCTTTGGGTAACGAAAATTCCCACTTTTGAAAAAGAATCCTATATTGCAAAGGAATACTTAAGTTTTCCTAAGATTTTCATTTCAAATTGGGTCACCAATTTTTCCTTTAACGCCAGCTTCGCTGTTTCATTGTCTCGTAATAATCATGTCATTACATAGACTAGCAATCAGGTAACTTTGCATGTAATGGAGTGCTTTATGGCTTTGCTTATATCCTAAGGAAATCATCGCATTTGTAAATCTTCTTAAGAAAAAGAGATATATTAATAAGTAACAAAAGTAATATCTAATAGAGGGAAATATTTACTAAGAAATTCCTTGTCAAGTTATATGTTGTGTCCTTATTTGATGTAATAAAATCATATCTCTGACAAGCTATAAGGCTGGAACAAAGGATAGAGTGGTTGGTACTCTCTCTAGTGATGCTTGGTTGAGAGGCACAATTCATGATTCATTGCAAGAAGCCAGGTTTCATGCAGACTTTGAACTATAGATATTGAGGTTGCACTGTATGGGGAGTAGTATTAGATAAAGACTCCACAAAAATTCCCTAAATTCTACAGGAATTTCATGATTCAATGGAGGAATAGAGGGTGAGATCCAAAAATAGAGCTAAGAATGTGATGTTTGTTTAAGAAACATGGCTCACACGCTGTTAGGAATCTTTAGTGTAAGAACCTAACAGTCACCCTCACCACTGATATACACTCACACAAGACAAAAAGAATCAAACAATGGGTATGTTATTCAAGTAACAATCACTAAGTACAAAGTGTAACTCGAGGGCCTAACCCCTCTCACCAAGTTCAAAACCGGTCTGTACAAAGTATACAATTGACTAACTCCCCTACAGAATTACAAAAGGTTTACATTTATAGGCCCGTTGCCCGCCTTCTCCAACTGCTCCACTCTTCGGCTCTTTCACCCCTATCTTATATCCTATCACACGCTATCCTGGGATTTTTACTGCAACCACTTCCAATTCTATGCAATACATGGGTGATGTAGCCATGGGTTTTATAAGATTTATTGAATGTGTCAAAGCGCACAAGGATTTATCTGCTTATTAAAAATTAAGATTACAAAATAAAGAGTAATAAGGGATGTACTCCCTGCTTGTTAGCTGTACATATTTCCTAACTGATTTCATTGGAGAACTACCTAAGGCTATGGGGTGGATAACATAATGGTGATGGTCGATACAATGAGAAAATATGCTCTTTTCTTCTCATTATAAAGGAAAAGACAAAACAGAATGAAATCAGATTTAAATAATCTGGTCTTGAAATTAACTACCCAAATAAACTAGCATAAAGAACAATAAATCAGATCAGATTTGAATAATCTGGTATTGCTCTTAACTAACTAAATTTTATAGAGTCCTTATTTGAAATTCAAATGTGAAGTAAAAGTACATATGCAACTAGCAACATAGACTACTCCAACCAATAGGCAATTTAAGGTGCACCATGACATGATAAACTTATTATTGAATATTTTTATATACTCTTAATTATTATTCGTCTGTGTTAATGATAGGATATGTAATGTATTAGACAATTTGTAGACAGTTTTTAGATAGTTTGGCAAAAATAAAATAGAAGTTCGTATGAAGTGGTTAGGGGTAGTTAGGAGGAGTTTAAACAGAAGTTAGGGGAAGTTTTAATTAGTAGTTAGGCAGTTTTTGTCTTTTAAGGAGGGGGGGGGGGGTGTTCTAGTTCTGGTTGTTGAGTGTTTTATTTCTGTACAGGGACTATCCTGTGTAGAAGGGAATGTTTTCCCTTAGATGTTGTTGAATGCTTTCTGTATTTTTCATTCAATAAACTGCTGCCTCACAGTGAGGTTTCTTGTCTCTTTGTGATTGTTTATTTTGAGATAGAATTTAGGTTTCTTGCACGAAGAAACCTAACAAATTGGTCTGACCTGCCAATAGTATATGGAATGATAGGATATGTAATGTATTAGACAGTTTGTAGACAGTTTTTAGATAGTTTGGCAAAAATAAAACATAGAAGTTAGTATGAAGTGGTTAGGGGTAGTTAGGAGGAGTTTAAACAGTAGTTATGGGAAGTTTTAATTAGTAGTTAGACAGTTTTTGTCTGTTAAGGAGGGGGGTGTTCTTGTTCTGGTTGTTGAGTGTTTTATTTATGAACAGGGAATGTCCTGTGTAGAAGGTAATGTTTTCCCTTGGATGTTGTTGAATGTTTTTTGTATTTTTCATTCAATAAACTGTTGCCTCACAGTGAGGTTTGAGTTGTCTCTGTTTGTGATGGTTTATTTTGAGATAGAATTTAGGTTTCTTGTCACCAAGAAACCTAACAGTTAAGCACATGATTTTATATTGACATTGTGGTAATGATATATTGTGTTTTGGTAAAATTTATCATATTATTCTTTGGGACTGGAAAAGCATAACTATGAGTATGATATTTTGCCTTATTAACTGATTGTTTTACTGGTTATCAATTTTCCAATATATTCTTTGCCACCTTTTCTCATAATGTAAAAATTTTAATGGAGGTCTGTCAATCCCTCATGGATGAATTTTCTTTTTCCCTTATTTTCAGTTGAATCCTCCAGCTGCTGAAGCACTTAAAAGAATGCACATGCTTGCTGCAGATCCTGGAATTGTTGCTGTCATGAACAAGGTATACTGCTCATACCCAAATTAATTAGCTGAACTAATATATATTTGTGCTATAATGAAATATGCTGCAAGTTCTGAAGATGTTTTGCATATTATATAGCATCGATGGCGTGTTGGAATTATGACTGAGATGGCTCCTGTTGGTTATGTTGGTGTGGACCCAAAATGTATTCTTGGTTTTAACAAGGTATTGGATTCCACAAGATGACAAAATAGGGCATTTTAAGTGTTTGTCATTGTCCTGTTGTTGAATTCTCCTTTCTCCTTTCTGTTTTCATTCTTATTACAGAACCATGGAGAGGAAATATCACTGCGCCTAAGGACTGATGACCTCAAAGGTTTCAGGAAATATGAAAGCATCAAGAAAACTCTACTGCATGAACTTGTAAGCTATAGCATACACCTGAAGTGCAATTTTTTTTCTTCTATTGATCCTAAAGTAATTGAAGTATGAAATAAGGTAAAGCATAAATTTCTACTGTCTATTTCACAAATGGAAGTTACTGAACAAACTTATTTCAGGCACACATGGTATACTCTGAACATGATGCGAACTTTTATGCTCTGGATAAGCAGGTGCGTTCATAGGCTTGAATGTTTGGCTGTCTGTCCGTTATTATACTCTGCTTTACTGCCATATGATGATTTTGTTTGTTCTTTGACAGTTAAATCAAGAAGCGTCTAGTTTAGATTGGACCAGATCTGCAAGCCACACTTTGAGTGGAGTAAGGAATACTTCAACCTATGAAGATAACATTATAGCTGACAAAAGCAGTATTCCTCAAAAGCTTGGAGGTAACAGGACAGATCAGCTAATAAGTGCACGTGAATCTTCAGTTGCTGCTGCTCACCATCGATTGGCTAATGTTTCTCCAAACAAGCTGGGAGGGTCTGAATTAAATCAAGAGCTGGATCCTGGTTATTCTAGTCATAGTTTGAGTGAAAACAAATCTGATTGTATGATATCTGCCTCCAAAGAAATCGAAGATATTGAAATGGCTGTCACTGAGAACAAAGAATATAGAGGTGAGCCGGACCCTGATGATCATATTATCAATGGAATGAATCACGAGCCTGATCCAGATGATTCTCATCACGGTAAAGTTGTTGATTATGATGTTAGTTCAGAAATAGCAGATAGAAAGACTTCTGAACAACCTAATGATTTTGGTGTAAGGCAAGTTTTGTATTCTGAGACAAGTACTGGTAATATGGTAGCATCATACACATCCATTTCCAATCAAGATACTTCAGAAGCATCTACGGAATCTATTGCTCCAATTATAGGTAATTGCTCGCCAGTAATATGTAGTTTGTGCAGGCATATCCAGTCAAGGATGAGCATTCTATAATCATAAACCTAACAATGATTACTTGGAACCAGAAAACATCAATCTAAAACATGGAAACTTTTGGACTAAAGGATTGAACACGCGCACACATTTTTTACTAGAATAATCTGATTTATAGACCATATTTGAAGAACATGCATCAACTGCACAGGGTATTCCCTACTGAGGTGCCTCCACCTTCTATACCTTACACAAACAAGTTTGACATTTTAACTCCCTTATAGGTTTGTCACTACAGGTAGATAATACTAACTGGCATAAAACATTACTGCCTACTACTGAATTAACACAAACACATAACTATGTCTTATGGATTCTGAAAAGTAAAAGTGTAAGACTATTTATAGAGTCTAGCTAACTGATTGGTGAAGACCAGCTGTAACTAGCTACTTATAATTACACCAACAGAAAGGAAATTATACAATACAGACACATGTATGTTGGATGCTAGCAACTTGATTAAGTATACTCATACTCCTCCTTAAGCTTGTGGTGGCTAAAATCTAGGTAAAGTGTAGAAGAGATAAAATCAATTTGTATATTATTGCTCACTCTGTCTAAAACTTCCTACGAGAAGAACCACTCACTATATGTGATACAATGATCTCAGTCTCAAGTCCCAAATTCCACCTCCTTGCCCCCAAACACGTGCTCACCTCCCTTCTATATTCTCCACTTCTTTCTCTTCAAAATAGAAAGTATTCCTTCACCAGATCCTACCTACCACTCAACAATTCAATTAGGTTCCTAATCATTGGGTGTGTGCTGGTGGACCCTAAGGATACATCTTAGTGAACTCCCCACTTTACCTTTTTTCCTTTAAACTTATACCAGTATCAACTCCATCCCCTATAATTTTCACCTTGTCCTCAAGGTGAAGTTCAGGGAAGTAATTCCCCATCTTTTGTAGAGATTCCCATGAATTTTCACATGATGGCATACCCTTCCATTTCTTTAACACTTCCAGGGTCTTTCCTTCTCCTTCTCTAAGAGCTAGAATCTCTTTTGGTTGCATTTCTAGCTCCCAATTCTTAGTTATACACGAGGAAGTTGCTGCACCATTACCTCTATTGACACAATTGGCCTTTAATAAGGAAACGTGAAAAACTGGATGGACCTTGCTACCTTTTGGCAACTTCAATTTATAAGCTACCTCTCCCACTCTTTCACTTATTTCATAGGGCCTATAATATCTAGGACTTAGCTTTTGATTAATTCTCTTGGCTAATTTTTTTAGCTTATAAGGTTGGATCTTCAAGTAAACCCAATCTCCAATCTTGAATTCCACCTTTCTTCTATGCTTGTTTGCTTGCTGTTTCATGAAGTTTTGGGCTTGCAAGAAGTGGTCTCTGAGTTTAGTTAACATTGCCAAGGTTTTGTCCCTGTCATGCATCTGAGATGGGTCTCCAAGCACCTATTCACCACCTCAGTTTAATCAAATGTTTGAGGATGGTAAGTTGAGCTAAATTTTAATTTAGTCCTGGCCAATTTGAACAACTCTATCTAGAAAGAACTCATGAAGACCCTGTCCCTGTCTGAAACAATTGACTCTGGAAATCCATGTGGCTTTAATTCTCTTTTCTCTTTTTCGGCTAGAGGACTAAACATGATGTTCGTAACACTAGTGAATTAATTGTGCTTTATCTATAAACGTTATTCCATTGAGATCGTTTACACAACTAACTCAATATATCCAAAAGGTGTGTGTGTGTTTGTGTGTGTATATATATATATATATATATATATATATATATATATATATATATATAGGTAGGTAGGAACCCTTTGACAATGCTTGCTAATGACTCGTTGTTGACTTGTGTGTATGATGATCACTTTCATCAAGAATGAATCGTTTAATAAACAAACTTTAACACAAACAATTTTTATACTAGTTCACTTGTTAGAGCTACATCCAGTTCTCGTCTAATTTAACTTAGAGGGTTCCATTAAGTATTCAATGAAGTACAATTGAGTGTTTTAAACCACTCCTGAGGTCCCTAGTCGTATTGAGTAACCATTGTTACTTTTGATTAGTTGAGTTTCACCCACTCCTGGTTGCGTTATATTATTCACCACTCCTGGTATTCCTATACGCTTTTGGTATCACACTGATACACTGTTTAGTTGAGTTTCACCCACTTCTGGTTGTGTATTATTCTTTACCACTCTTGGTATCCCTAGTCAGCGAATAACCTTTTGTTACCCTAGACTAGTTGAGTATTCACACCACTCCTGGTACTAGACAATTCTAGTATCCTTCGATACGCTGCCCAGATTTCCAAAGTTACTAGTGTTTTGATTCTCTCTAGAATTGCAATCAAATGATTGTTTACAAGTCGTTTAGACTATTACTCTCGTAGAGAGGATGTTTCTCTCTTCACTCTTTTCTCTCTTACAAAAGTAAGCAAATATTACAATAAAGTTTGAGAGAACTTCTCAATGTTTCACTCTATTACTCTCTCTTCTTTATTCATACAAAGTAAGTGTATATTCTGATGAAGCTTGAGAGTATTTCTTTTCTTGGGCTCTTGTCTTTCTCTATATCCTTGGTTAGAAGAATTTTACTCTAATAGCTCAAATATTCTTTTCTTCTCCATAATCATCTTCTTCTTCTTGTTGATCTTCTTTTTATACACCTTTGTTAATATGGCCGTTTTGATGACACTTGTCTTGAAATTTCATAATATGACCGTTTGACGAAGTTGGTCTCGAGATCTAATCACTTCTGGCATAGGCATAGGTGTTTGTCATAGGGTGGAGTCTTTTTGTCAGAGCAGACATGTTTTTCAGAATTTTATCAAAAGCAGATTTGACTTCTCATTTGGTATTACTTTTGATGAAAAGATCATTCTTCTTTCCAACTTCATTTTTGATTCTCATGAGACAGGGCAGATGAACACTTGTAGTAGTTGTCCTGCAAGAGATAGAGCGGATGTGTATACAACAAATGGGTCTTATTTCCTATTTTCCTTGACATTTTTAACTGTTGAGCATTTAATGTTGTTTAAAGTTTGTTCAAGGTTTTATGCTTTCTATTGTTATATTAAGAGTGTGTTTGATATCGTTTAGCCTACAAGAGGCTTTTTCTTGGTTAGTGTTTTACTTGTTATTTTTAGCATTTGTTAGAAGTAGGTTGTATTTTGTTTTAGGTCACGATTACCTAAGGCGAGAACATTTTGTGAATGTCGTCCACTTCTGATCCATTTAGGGTTTAGATGGATGCGTGTAGTACATTCATCAAATATCTTTTATCACTTTTGTTGTTTTTGAACGTTGAGCATTTAATGTCATGTAATGCTTGTTCAGAGCAACAAATTGCTTTTTACATTTTCTACCATTGAGGTAGCGTTTATCAATTAAGCTTTTCCCTAAGATATCAAGGGTTAAGTAAGAACTTCCTCGTTGGATGAAGTGATAGTTTTAGCTCATGGTGACTGATGTAAACGCTTTTTGTGATGTTTCCTTTTTAGAGCAAGAGCGTTTAGTAGGTTATGTTTTCTTTTTTGTTTTTGGTTTATGCTTTTTAGGGTTTTTTTGTCAAAGACATAGTTTTGACACTTTTTATCTTTTTCCCGAGAGTTTAGTAGATTATGTTTTCTTTTATGTTTTTGGTTTAAGCTTTTAGGGTGTTTTTTTTTGTCAAAGACATAGTTTTGACACTTTTTCTCTTTTTCCTGAGAGTTCAACTGTATACCCCTTGGATACAAGATAGTTTCTGCGTTTAGCATAACTCTCTTAGACACTTTTGACTTGTTAGTCATTTAGCACTACGTCTGAGTGTTTTGACTTAGGTGTTTTTGTGTTTTCTACAATCCTAAGTGTTTCCTAAGGTTTTTCTATTGTTGGCCTAATTCTAACATTTTATTCATGTCATATTTTTATCTTGGGAGGTCGTCTACAAACTTTCTTTCCCAGTGGATTATTAGTTGATTGAATATGATAGACTTGTTGTGTGGACACTTGTTCTTTCATACTTAGGGTTCCTGCCCTAACGTTTGGTGTTTGGTTTACATTCTACTAGCATAACCAAAACTTTTTTTTTTCATGTTGTTTGGTTAAACTTCAAAACCAAAACTACTTTGTTTCATGTTGTTTGATTAAACTTCAAAACCAGGGTTCTATAGACGAGCTTGTCTTGTCTTAACAATCTCTCCCTTTTTGATGTCTAACAAATATACATGCTAAACAAATAGTTCTACTAGTATATTTCTCTCCCCCTTATTTGTAAAAGATCAAAAAGGCTTAGAGAAATACATTGTATAGATTTGCTTAAGGATTTCTAGGTTGTGAATTACTGAGTTTGGGTCCTGGTAAGCTCTAGGTTGTGAACTACTTCATTTTATATTGATTGATTAAACTTCAAAACTGAGGGTTCTATAGACGAGCTTGACTTGTCTCAACAACAAACTTGAGTAGGATTAGAAGAGATATAACAAGGCTGCTGCATAAAAGCAGTTTTCTTCAAGTTCACCATGCAAAAAGGCATTATTAATATAAATTTGTCTAATGGACCGATGAAGACAAATAGCAAGAGTGAGTATAATCCATATAGGAGTAGGTTTGACCACAATACTGAAGATTTCTGTGTAGTCAAGGCCAACAATGGTGAAAGCCCTTAGCAACCAAGCCATCTTTGTATTTTTGGAGAGTGCCATTTGCATGATAAGGGAGCGCCTTTGGAAAGATCCACGAGTGTCCAAGTGCCATTTTCAAAAAGTGTTGTATTTGGTTTGCGTTGCATTAAACCAATCAGGATTAGACAAGGCTTGTTTAATAGTACATGATACCTGAAAAAGTCTAGGTTTGTAAATACCTGATTTTGACCGTGTGATCATAGGGTGAGTGTTGGAAGGTGGAGAGATCATATCAGTAGTGGTATCCGAGTAAGAGCTATCTTGGTTGAAGGATGATGAGTTGTTAGTAGTAGGAGAGGTTGAGGACATGTTGAGTGAAGCACCATCATGTGAAGTCTGAGGTAAAGGGGAAAATCTGGGTGGTGTGTTGGCAGCAGCGTGAATGCAGTGTTGTGTGTGGGCACAGGCTGTGTGGCATGTGAGCATTGTGTTTTGATTGAGATAAAGCGGGCGTGTTAGTAAAAGGTTGTTTAATAGAAATAACTATACTAGTTGGTGTATCAGAAAAACTACTTTTGTATTTTTGCACAAAAGGGTTATTAGATAAAGTTGTTAGGATATTTATCTTATTTTATCATCGTTACAGTGTGTCAAGGGTTACTTTATTTATCAGGATTATATTGTATCTAGGATTACCCTATTTATCATGATTATATTGTGTCTAGGATTACCCTATTTATCATGATTATATTGTGTCTAGGGTTACCCTATTTATTATGTACTTTTGTATCAATTTATTCTTATAAATAAAAGATCATGAGAGGGATGAATCAAGCCCTCTAAAATTATTTTAGAATTTAATTCTCAAGTAAAGTAAAAGGGAAAACAGTTTCATTAAAAAGCACATGTGAGATATAAACTGTCAAAAGGTGAGAGACAAAAATACCCTTTGGTTTGAGAATTATAACCTAGAAACAAACTCATTGTGGATCGGAAATCAAATTTTTGTTTGTTATAAGGACGAATTAAATGGTAACAAGCACAACCGAAAACCTTTAAGAAAATCATAATTTGGAGTTTTATGCAAAAGCTTTTTATAAGGAATAAGGTTATTTAAAACAGGTGTTGGGAGATTATTAAAGATATGAACAACACTAACAAAAGCTTCACCCCGAAACTTTTTAGGCAATGAAGCCCAAACAATGAGAGATAGACCAATATCATCCACATGCCTATGTTTTCTTTCAATAGGCCATTTTGTTGGTGTGCGTATAGACATATGAGCCTATGTTAGGATATAGGGTATTTGGGATATAAGGGTATAATGGGAAATGGGATTAGGATAGAAGGTAGAGGAATTGTATAAATAGATTGTTTGGATAGTTAGAAGGTAGTTTTTGAGTACATTGTTTGTTAACAGGCCATTGACCTGTGAAGAGGGTTATGCCTCTGGATCTTGTATACACACTATTTTTTCTGTTAATAATACACAATTCACCATATATTTCTCTTTGTTTTCTGTGTGAGGGAGTTCTTGATTAGGTTCCCAGTTTAGGAACCTATCAGCCTATGTCTAATATTGTGTGGACAAGTGAGATATTTTGGAAGACATAAGAATTTCTTAGCATTGTCAGTTTGAATGGCTTTTAATTTGTGATTAGTTTGATTTTCAGCAAAGGTTTTTAAAAAGGATGAAAATAGCTTAAACTTGAGATGTAGAATGAAGAAGATAGATCCACGTAAATTTAGAACAAGCATCTAAAAAGGTTATGTAATATTTTGCACCACTAGTACTAGGCATAGGGGCAAGACACCAAATGTTAATGTAAACCAAAATCTAAGGAGTTTTATAAGATGTATCAGATTTGGAAAAGGGAAGCTGATGCATTTTTGGTTGAACACAAGTATCACATAACACATTAGAAAAAGCAGTATCAAGTTTGCTAACATGAATATTGTTTTGTTTCAACACTTTTTGAATATTTTGATAAGAAGCATGCGCAGGGTGGGAATGCTATAAAGAAACTATAGAATTTACAGAAGTGTGATTAAGATTCAAATTGGGAGAAGAGCAAAAGGGGTAAAAAAACATAAAATCCATCTTTTAGGAAGCCTTAGATCTGTTTTTTTCCGGAGTTTTATCATAGTAGACATTAGAATGAAATTCAAAATATACATGACTGTCTTTGGTAAATTTGGAAACATCAATTAGATTTTTTGAAATATGAGAAACTGATAGGATATAAGGAGTGCAGAGTGAAACAGTTTAAAAATTAGTTGTTTGGGGGGCCTTTATAAGATAGGCAGGGAGGTCTTGTGTGGGGAGAGTTTTTTATATTAGTTGTGTTGACAGGAGATTGTTCCTATGGAGGAGGGAGAGTGGTCCCTTGAGAGTTAGGTGTTGTACCAGTGTATCCCTTAGGAGCCGGATCCTTGGCAGAGGAGCGAGATGGAAGCAAAAATGAATGCGCTGGAGGGAAGGTGTGATACTGTGGAGATGTGGGCCAACAAACAGAAAATGGTGCTAGTAGAATGTTGAAGAAATATCCAAGAAATAAAAGAAATGCGGCAGAAATCCAAGAATCACAAAAGCAGAAAGAAGTAAGAAATATGTCAGGAAAGGAAAAAAAGAGGGAGCTTGTTCCAGATTCTAAGCTGAATCTTTAAAGATTTTACCTTGGCTCTGGATTGAGATGCATGACAAACAGGCAGCTTGTTCCAGATTTGGGAAGCAGTGGTGAGGCCAACCATTTGAGTGAGAACAGACGTGTCCATAGAAGCCACAAGCCAAGCAGCCAAGAATTGATCTTGTTGCTCATATTGGAGATAGGCGGGATTAACAATGCTGTGAAGGGCATCATCAGGATTAAGGTATTTGGGTGGGGTATCTTGACCATCCAAGAATTTGATAAGTTGTAATCCTGTGATTGTGGCAGATCAAGAAGTTTTCAATGGTAAGTTTGAGGGAGGTAGGTGTATTGAAAGTGTGAGGGTGGTAGGAGGTAACGGTGGTGGTTTTGGAGTTGTGGGTTCAAAAGCTATGACAGTAGCTATGATTTCCATGTAAGGAAAAGATACAGAGAGAGGGAAAGAATATTAAATAACTGTGAAAAGTATCTTACAAAGAAAATGTTAACTAATCTATTTACACTGAAGAGAAGACACACATATATATATATAGAGAAGGAAGAGTAACTGATAATAACAGAATCAGTTACACTGCTGTGTTATCTCATTAAGAAAGGAATTACTGACAGCAATTTTTTTAGTATACTGTTAGGATATAAGGAGGAGAAGCTAGTTATGGTATTTGAAATATTAATTAGCTAGTTGTATCTGTGTTTGTAACAGCATATGTCATTTACATTCCAACCTAAGGGGGAGTGTTAAAGATTTTAATATGTAAATAGGAAAATATTATATAGTCTTAACTTTGGGATTATGTCTTATATTTCTTTTGTTTTCTTGAATTTTATCAATAATATTGCCTAAATAGAGAATCGTGTGTATGAGGTCTCGTAGCTTGAAGCATTTGTTTTTAACAAGCTGCTAACCTTCTGTCCCAACTGTTGCTTCATTGAATTGGTTCCGTGTTCTACCTAAATATTGGATATTAAGTTAATGAAACAAATGTTTACAACCAACCTGCACATGGGAAATCTTATGTAGAAATAAATCTGATGGCAGAAACTGTTCCCAATGATGTTCCCACACCAGAATTGTCTACATTACAAACTAATGAGCCTGATCCTGATGATCAAGAATTTCAGAGAATAAATGATACCTCAACTGCTGTTTGTAACCGTTTGTTGAAGGCTGTGGAAATGCTAAGACGTGAAGTTAGTGCAATGCAAGCCACTTCGATCCTTCACACTCTCCTGAAAATAATTAGGTATGCATATGCAAATGTTGGTTGAGCTCTCAATGAACGGCTTGCTTTAAAAGTTTTCAGAAAGTACTTCTAGTAATTCTATGTGTAGTTATGCTTGAAGCTTTTCCTTTTACGTATATCATTGCTTCAATCTGATTGCAGGAATGTGATTGAACACCCTTTAGTGGAAAAGTACAAGAGATTGCGGAAGGTACATATAACTCATGTTACCTCTTGGCATGCTTCCCGAAACAATTTTATATCTTAAGATTAACTTTGTTAGATATATTATTTTTATTTTTTATTTTTAGTTAGTTTGTTATTATTTCTTATTTGTATTTTAGGTTTAAATCATATATGTTCTATTATAAATACAATATTTTATGTATATATTAAACACAAAGTAGATTAATCTCACATATAGTTTTCATCGTATTCAACAAACTTCAAAATAAAAATTGATATCTATATAACGGATATTTGATTGCAGGCTAATCCAATCATTGAGAGGAACATCCTAAATAATAAAGGTTTGTACTTTCTGACCATGAATAATAATTTAGTAGTGCTTGTATAGAAGTTATTTTCTTATGTACAATGAAAGAGCCTAGAGATTAGGCATATGATTCTGATAAAATCTAAATAGTAATCTCTTGATTAGAGACTATTTAGAACTAATTTATCTTGTACATAGAAATGTGTAAGCAATTATTACAATTTCTTAAAGTAACTTTTTCTATAAGCTGATGCTAATATTATATATGCTCAAATTTGGGCTGTTATCTTTTTCATTTTTGCTGCTACAGCTGCCTTGGAAATTCTATTTCTGGTCGGCTTCAGCGAAGATGTTATGTTTGATAATCTTGGAAAGGAAGATGCTTACTTGGTGTTAAAGCGAAATGATCCTGGCTTATTATGGCTTGCTAAGTCAACCCTTGAATCAAGCACAGGCTTAGCTTGCTAGCGCAGAAAACGGTTCTGAAAGGCAAAGCAAAATTGTACGTCAAAGTATCTTAAAAATTTCCATTGTATATGAGTTTGTAAAGTTTGTCAGTTTCTCTATTTATAGTCACTATCCAATAGATAAAATTAAACACAGAAACATAAGGAGAAGGAAGAACTACATTTGAAGTTCAAACGGAAACCTGGTACTCTCTATCGGTGGTAATATTCGAGTTGTTCATTGCACAACGTTAGATGTCATTTTGTTGTATTTTATTGAATGTATATACATTTCATGAATAAAGGGAAATCCATGAAGTGTTGTTTGTTTAGTATTGACAATTGGAAAAGAATATGGATATTGCTTTCTACACCTTATCAATATTTTAATACACCCTATCATTTCTGGAATTTATTTTCCGGAACACAATTAACATATTCGAAAATTCTTTTCCAGTAAGCGATAATCACTCTTTCCTGTTATACGAAAAAAAAAAAATAATCTGCGGTAGCTTTTTGATGGGGGAGACAGAAATTTGATAGTGGTAGGAAGCAATACCCAAAATTCTTAGGATAGGAACGTAGAAGGGTAGGCAGCAAACTGCAAAGGATTACATTGTTTAATTTATGGTTCTGTTATGTGTAGCTTATCATGCTTGTGTTTTTTATTTTTTGGTTGAAACATATTTTTAGTTCTTTATAAATAGGTTAAACGTTTTCGGAAGTTTCTATTTATGTGGAATTTTTTAAGTTAGATTCTCGTCTTATAGGTTTTTTCAATTTAGTCATTTATATTGAAAAATTGACTCAATTAGGTCTTGCCGTTAAATTAGCTTAACGGGTTAAGTTTTTTATGAGCTGGACGTTGACGTGGCCAGTTTTTGTCACATCACTCTTGTCACGTCAACATCATCTTTTCCAACAACAAAAACCCTAATTTTCCTCAAGAGTCTAACCCTAGCCATCGCGAGCAAACCCTAGCGTCGTCGCTGTAAAGCCGCTGCGAAGCCTTCAGTCTTGTCGTCACCATCTCGCTGTGCTGCAATTGTGAAGTCACCGTGAGAATGCTAGTAGCGCTAGTAGCGCCTTCGCTGCACCGCCACCATTAACACCACCTTCTTCGCGCATCCACCATCTCGTCGCGCCTCAATATTGTCGATGCATAGAAACCCATCAACTGCCACCACCTTTAACAAATTGAGAACTTGGATTCATGGTCGTGATTCGCGCCATCCTCGGACCGCCACAACGCCTCCATCTCTTTCCACCACTGTTTCCTAATCACGAGCGGCTCTGCAACACTATTTCATCTCCATCAACGCAGAACCCTAAATCGCGTTAAACCCTAGTCGTGCAAAACCCAGAATCGCGAACTCCTTGCGCCGTCGTGAGACCACACCGTGAGAGCTCCAGCGCCTTCGTTTCTTCTTTTTCGAGCAATTGTGAGAACCAGCACATCCTTCATTTTTGCAAGTCTCCTTCTTCACAAATTCATCAACCTACAAACCTAGAGAAATCACAAAACATAGACTCAAAAACCCATTGTGAGGTCATCTCTCTCGCACAAAAACATGAGAAAACTCCCAATCTTGAAGGAGAGGCCCTGGGAGACATTAGACTCCACTCCAATCTCGAACTCTATGAATTGTGATTTGTTGCGTCTTTAATCTCGAACTCAATTTGATTTTAATAAACCCTAATTTGGTGATGAACCCTAAGCACCAATCGCTGAAGATGATGAAGGGTGGTAGAAGATGATGAAGGAAGGTTGAAGATGATGAACTCTAATTTGGGTTTCAATTATCATAAACTTTACTTTTTTTTATTTTTTTAATTATACAATCCACGTAACCTGTTTGAATGTGTCACGTATAAAAAATTTACCATGTCAACGTGCCATGTCATAAAAAACTTAACTCCGTTAAGTCAATTTAACGACAAGGGTCCAATTGAGTCAATTTTTCATTTTTAAGGACTAAATTGGCGAAACCAATAAGACGAGATCTAACTGGAAAAAATTCACATAAATAGGTATTTTTGAAGGGTTTAATCTTATAAATATTAATGAATTTTGGTTTTGCTTTTTAATAAATATTTTAAAACTTTTTCTCCATAATTTGTTTGTTTATGCTTCTCTTCTAGATCTATTTAAATTACTTTATTTCATTATTTTTTCGAGATAAATAAAATAAAATGTTATGAATAATTTTTTTAGATAATGAAAACAAAATTTCAAATAATTTATCTGGATTAAAATCATATTTAATTGTTTTTGATATGTTTTTGAAAGTTGTTAGAAGATGATAATAAGATATGAGAAAGGATGGAGGTTAATTTTGGAGGGGTCATTTCTTTCTATTTGGTATGGATTTCGACTTGTACCTCTTCAAAAATATTTAAAGAAGATTTGATCATATTATATTTATGGGAATGGTGAGATTCTATAGGATAGAAAGAAAGAGCCTTTAACAATGCAGAACTGCACTTCGAGGTGTAAGATTAAAAAAATATAAAAATTTTAAAAATAAAGTAGTTTTGAGATTTTGAGTTTTTATTTGAAAATTAATGTTTTTGAATATATATTTTTGTTAGAACATAATTGTTATGTTATTTTTGTTGGAGCAATCAGTATCGTGCAACAAAAAAGGTTTTTAGAGTGGAAGACGTTACAGTCAATAACTAAGATAGGAATAGAGCTGTCAAAATGGATAACCCGGCTCGACCCGACCCGACCCACTACGGGTTGACCATTTAGTGAGCCAACTCAACCTGGTTCATTTATTAGCGAGCCAAAAATATTCGAAGTCGACCCGATCCACCACGGGTTGGTGGGTTAAACGGGTTGGCTCATTGACTCACTTAATTACTTCATTAACTTTTTTTTCACCTTCTTCTCAGATTCTTATAACATGTTACTTTGATCGATCAAATTGAAACAATAATAATTGGACCAATTGATATAAAAGAAAATGAAACAAAAGAAATATATTGTTATAAATATTCTAAGCTATCAAGCGTAAAATTTTGTCAATTTAATTTAGTGAGACATACAAGAAACTATATATAGACGTTAACAAAAATATATAACACAAGATAAAATTGTCATGTTTGTAGATAGGTCTAAAAAGATAAAATAAATGATATATTCCTGAATTATTCAATCTATAATATTATCCATCTATTAAATTGGAGTCCTGAATGGATAAATCTACAATATTATGCTTTCTTGAAGCATCTTCTTCTTTATCTCCATCTATAATATTATCCAATCTATAATCTTAGGGTTTTATTTGCGGAGGAGAACTTTTGGAAAGACAGCAACGCGAAAGGCTCTATTGCTAAGTAAAGGTTGTGCATTTTGAATAATTAATTTAATTAATTTGATTTCAATAAAAAAAATAGGATTTGAATAATTAATTTAATTTAATTAAAAAAAATAGGTGGGTTGGTGAGCCAACCCGACCCACCATGGGTTCAACCCGTGTGAGCCGGGTTCTTAGTGAGCCGGGTCAAAATTGGCTCGCATAAAAAATTTTGCATTTTTTTTCAACCCAACCCGGCTCAAACCCGTGGTGGGTCGGGTTGGCTCACGAGTTTCAACCCATTTTGACGACACTAGATAGGAACAGTGAAATAGTTCTTTTAAAAAAATCTTGATTTTCTTTTAAGACTTTTATCAAACAGTTTGAATGCTAAAGAGATAGAGTTAAAGAAAATCAACACAGAAAATTTTATCCTGGTTCAAATCAAAAGATTCTACATCAAGTCGTTAATCACTATAAACAATGATTAATTTTTCACTAAAATATTGTTAACAGATTACAATAGAATGAAATAAAGAGTAAGAACAAAAAAAATCTTCCTTCGACAAACGAATGGAAGAACCTGTTCAATCAACTTGAAGAGAACCGCTTCGACCTTAGACCCACTAAGCGCAAGCTTCTCCTATTCACAAGACTTGATATGAGCACACTAATACTTGAGAACTTCCTCAGACAAATTCTATATTCTCAAATGACTTAGTTCCCTTTTCACTCTTAGAGAGCTTCCCTTAAGCACACAACTCTAATACTCTCAAAATAAAAATTTCTTTCTAAGAGTTGTGGAAAACACTATTTATAGCCTAAGGTTTCTGTAGGGTCAAAAACTGAAAAGTCATCTCCTAACTTGCAGTGATAATCGATTATCATAAGTGATAATCAATTATTTGTGTCCATTATGAGGTTTTTTCAAAAAGTGATAATCAATTATTCTGAGAGATAATCGATTATTTGTGCAACCTGGACAATATTAAATCAAACAGTGATAATTGGTTACCTTGTGAGATAATCGATTATTTGTGCAAACAATCTCTTTCTACTTTGGCTCGTGATAATCAATTATTACACCAAATAATCGATTATCTGTGAAAATATTTTCTAAATAGGAGAACTTCTGAGTGTTATTACATAAACAGAGTTATTCCTATACAATTAATCCTACAAAATGCTTTTAAAGAAACTACAACAAGAGTCTTCAAGTCTTCATCTTGTAGCATCATCAAAACCATAATATCTTCAAGACACCAATGCTTCTCATTGACAATCTCCCTCTTTTTGATAAAAAATCTCTTGTTAAAAGCATTTCTAATTTTCCTACCATATTTAGACTTACACACACATAAACATGTTAGCAATAACTGCATTAATTAGAAGTTTTTCTCTTCCTTTTTTATCATAAGCAAAAAGTAAAAATAAATACTCTCCCTCAATTTTAACTTCCCCTCAACAAAAGAAAGATGTAATTTAAATATTATAAGGGTAAAAGAGTAATTAATCTAGAGCAGAGATAAATAACAAGATATCAAACAAACTCATATATCTCCTCTTAAATATGTACCAGTTATCACATAAGATGTCAATAAAAAATTTCTCCCTCTTTTTTATCATAATTAAAAAATCATCTCATCTTTATGCTCCTCATAAATTAGTTAACTTAAAAAGAATTTAGGTTCTTTAAAAATATTATTTCCCCTAAATGTAATATTCTCCTCAAAATAAAAAATAAATGCTTAAAAAAAATTTTAAATAAAGTTTTTTTTAACGTTTCAACTTAAGATAATCGATTATTTGGGAGTCAAATTGTCCAAATTCATATTTTGAAATTGAGATAATCGATTATTTACGTTAATTTTTGAAAAACGTAAATTTGGGCCAAATTTTCAAGCTAAGACTGCATTCATAAATTATTTTCAAACCTCTTAACAGTTATCAGGATACCATAGAGCTTTTTTTTTTCTTTTGAAAATTTAACCTGTAAAACAAAAAAATAGAGTTTTGGTCCCCATAATCTC